CCCACCCAGCCAAGCCAGATCGGATTCCCTGGGAAACGGAGGGCTCCAGGCACCCCCTGCTGCTGCTTCTCTGCGGTGATCGTCCAGCCTGGAGGCTGATGGGGGAATTCCTGAAAGGCCTTTAGTCCTCTTACACAACCGCACTGCGGCCAAAGAATTTTACAATTCTGTCGGGGGGGGGGGGGGAGAATTTAGGCTTATATTCAGGCGCATATATTCCCCAGAATCCCAGCTTTGGGTAGGATCAGCCCAAGGAGGCAAGGGGGTTTTGCAAGCTGCTGGTATGGCTAGCCGCGTCTTGAAGGAGCCCCAGAAGGGGTGTGGGTCCAACAGCCATGTGCCAAAATTAGCTGGGTGTGCACTAGATGAGCCACCAAGGGCTAAAGATGCTACTTTGGGGGTGGGGGAAAGGGCCTCCCCATAGGGTTAACTCTGAAGCCCAACATGCCTTGGCACTGCTAGACAGAGGGAGGATTGGGGGACAGGGCTTGGAGACGCTGTCCGCCATTATGCAGACTTTGTCACAACTTGGCTCTCGGCTACCTTCCTCTGTTGTCTCCCCGTTGCTGGTGGGCTACCCAACAGAGCAAGGGGCAAAATGGCCTCTCAGCTCCACTGCGCAAAGATAAATGGGGGAACGCCAGCTTGGGTTCCCTTGCTTTTTTGTTCGGGGACCCCCGGACTCCCACCCGAGCTCCACTGTTATTCCCATCCTGGCCTCCTCTCATTCCCACAGTACCCCCAAACCCATCACCCTACCCTGGTGACGCCGCTAAGTCTTAGTCTGCGGCACCACAGCTGAACCCAAGATAAAAACTTTTTTTTCTTTCCTTTTCGAAAATTGGCACAAAAAAGTGAGAGAGACAAGCCTTTTAGTGTCGCGCCTCACCCTGCTCAGGATGGGTAGGTCTTCAAGGATGCCATCTTCGGGGCTCAAGCGGGGAGATGCCCAGGGTGGTGGGGAAGGAGGAACGAAAGTGAGAGGCTGCAGGCGAGAAAGCAAGAAAGAAAATGGAGGGGGTCAAGCTGGCACAGAGGGCGAGAGGGACGACAGGTTGGGAGTCCTGCCAGGGTGTGCCAAGCGGGGCCGAGCTCTTGCTTGAGGCTTGGGGCAGGGGAGGGGAGGGAGACAAAAGAGGGAATGGGGCATAATGGCAGGCGAAAGTTGGAAAGGAGGTGGGCACTTTGCTGGGAATGGGTGAATGCTCAGTGCCAGCGAAGGAGGGAAGAGAAAGAAGGAGAAGCAGAGAGGGCGGGAGAGAGCAAAGGAGAGAGGGACGCTGGGAAAAAAAGGAAAAAAAAAAAGAGAGAGAGCTCTGGGCCATGATCCAATAGCCGTGGTTAACTCTCTCCTCCCACCCAACCCGGCTCGGCTGAGCTAAACGGGAGTTTCCCTGCACCAGAGTAGGAATTACAGCTCTGGCCTGGGGTAGCTGAGATTGGACCGGTCTCTCTAGCCTGTTTCCTTGATCCCCAGCCCCAGCGGACCAGGGCTGCCCGTTGGGGCGACGTCTCTGGTCCAGATGACGAGAGAACGTCCCAACAGCCCATCTTCTCATATCAAGAGGGGTTTGACTAGCTCCAGCAAAGACCTCCCGGGTTCTTTTGAGAGTGGAGGTCCACCCTTCAAACCCCCCCCCCAATATTTTCATAGAGAACCAACTTTCATTTCCCCTTTTAGAGATCTCCTTCACTGGCTCTCTTCCTCTCTCCTGTTTCTCTCCGAGTGTCTCCAGCTACCTTCCTGGTGGAGCCCAGCTATGATTTTAACGCCACTTGCTGGTGCCGAAGTGCCCAGCGGCAGCCATTTTAGATCTCTTCCCTTCTCTCTCGCCATCCCAAGGCTATTCAGAGCTTTCCCCTTTCTGCACCCCAGCATTTTTCTTGAACACCGGAGAAAGGGAAACAAGACTGAAACGTGGTTTTACGAGCGATGGCACGACCAGCTCCAGGATTTTAGGAAGTCTTTTCCCGCTCCTAAAAGGCTCTTGGATTTAAGAGAGGAATTCCCATGCATCCAAACTGCCCTGATGGATCCAACCAAAGGTCCGTAGAACTGAATATCCGTTTGCTAATGGTGCTCTCTAGGTCTGATGGGAAGACACCCGCCCAGGTAGCCACCGCGGCTACGAGCCACACAGATTCCTCTTCCTCAACCAATATGACAAATCCTCTTTGAAGCCATCTCATCACCTCATCCTGGCGGAAACCATCTGCATACTTTAATTATGAACTGTATGCAGAGCTGATATATTATTATTAGTAGTAGTAGCAGCACTAGTAGGGGTAGTAGTGTTATTAAAAAAAGGCTTCCTGAATCCCTTGCCAAAGAAACGTACTGACTTGGTTGGCACGAGAGGAGGAAATGCATTTCTCTCTCCCCTTTTTCTACCCCATGTACCATTTTCTAAACCTCTTGCTTTTCCAATATTCTGCAGAAAGAAGGAAGCATGGCACCTTTTGAATAACGCCTAAATGCTGCTGAAAGAGACCATGCTAAGAAGCTGGTGCTGAGCATCATTTAATACCGCCTACTTCAGGTCAGATTATAACCCCAGCTTTGAGTCACAAACCTCTGAATGTTACCAGTATTTTACATAGGCCAGTATTTTACGTATCTGCCTTGAAGCAGGGAGATAAGCAGAAGGAGACAGGAAAAAACAAAATTCAGAGTCTCCTCAGATGGAATTGTCCCTCTTCCCTCTGGACCTTCTCCCATTAACCCCCCCCCCAACTTGCTCATTTTGGATATTATTTGGATTGTGTGATATTGTTTGGTAACAATTGGGTGTTACTTGTGAGATGTCTTGCAAGAATCTCTCTGCTGAAAGTGAAAGATAGGACTGAAATAATTATTTAAGGCATATATAGCTGTCTCAGACGTACTTCTCTAGTGTTCCCTAACCTCATAACATCCCCAAAGAAGTCACTTGTGGTTATTCCTCTGGTTGTAACCGACACAGGAAATGGCAACTCACAGTTTGAGTTGGTGGCAGAATCAATCAGTTTTTCCAAATGTAGAACTCTCCAGTGAGTTGGACTACAATTTCCATCATTATTCCCAGCATGAAAGCTACAGTTACATAAAAGCCTCACCAAACTATGTCCTACCCTTCCAAATATTACTTCTCACAAGACCATTTATTTATTTATCCCCCCCCACCTTGAAATATTCCAAAGGGACTTCAGGCACCTCCAACCTCTCCCTCTCCTCCATTAAAGTCTTCCAGGCTAATTTTAAAGTTCCTTCTCCAGTGGGAGATCTTCAGCTCGGTGCTGACAAAGAAAAGCTACTTGCGAGCCAGCATGGTCACTGCAGGTTAAATCTATGCCATATTGTAATTTAGCTTTCTGGTTGCTAAGCATCTGGGGGCAAGAGGCCATCTTCCAGGCTATGTCCATCACAGTGCAGGTGGTGTAGAGCTGAACATAAGCACTTCTCCAAGGCTATCCGTGCCATGGCGTAGATGGTTTGGGAATCTGCTGTGTCCCATTACTCAGCTGAGTTGCAGAGTCCATGCTGCAGAATGACACAGTTGTAATGCTTGCCTTTCCTTGGGACTAAATACATCCCATATCACTGCATTTTATGGTCTAATACAGTGTTTCTCAACCTTGACAACTTTAAGATGTGAGGACTTCAACTCCCAGAATTCCCCAGCCAGCATGGCTGACTGGAGAATTCTAGGAACTGAAGTCCACACATCTTAAATTTGCCAAGGTTGAGAAACACTGGTCTAATAGCTCCTGACCCTTCTTTCCAACACACGTCCCAGTGCACAAGAGGAAGAAAAGGACACGTACAAGCCCTTAACTTCCCACTTGAGAAAAGTACCTGCCCGTTCTGATTAAACATCCAGTTTTAACCAGTTTGGAGAGGCACGTCCTCTGCTCTTAGGTTGATGGGGGAAACTTGAATAGATGGAGTGAGTCTAGTCCAATTTTGGGAAAAGGAGGAAATCGGAAGCAGCAAATACAAGCAGATTGATCCTGCACAAATCTTTAAAACCCTCTGGTGAGGAGCTGGGGATCTTTGGAAACCTTCTATCCATGTACACAATAGCCCACATCACACTATGCCATCTTTTCCATAGACATAAAGCTCAACTGCTGAAAGAATTATTATTTTGCCAAGTCTTAAGGAGGAGTTATTTTATGCCTTCATTCACTTTCTGCCTGAACATGCCTAGGCTTCACCATTTCCTTTTGAAACTCATAGGACCCATATTCCGCTGACAGACGCCATGCTTTGTGTGCAAAACAGTCCAAGTTTAGTTTCTGGTATCTCCTTGTTATAAAAGGGTTGCAGGTGACAAAATAGATGTGTTCTGGACAGCCATCTAATAGCTAATAGTTGCCATGTTTTCACCTGGAATCCCTGTATTGAGCAGGGTTTGCACTTGATGATCCAGTGACCTCTTCTACCTCTAGGGCAGCATTACACATACAACTAACCAGGTCAGTTACAAACCTGGTGTCACAAAATAACTTGGTTAGTTTTAATCCTGGTTAAGCTTTGGGTGGTTTCACTGGCTTGTGTGAATCCAGGCCATTTGGCTAGTTGAGTTAGTTTTAGGCACAGTCTATAGAGTCAGGAACCCAAAGTGGGTTAATTTCTAGAATGAATTAACTGACATAGAAGATTGATTACTTCAGTAATCAGATTAAGTGCACTGGATGAACAGAGCCAGCCATTCTAGGACTGGGAAGAATATCAGAGTCACTGCCAATCTTATTAGATAATTCCAGGTTAGGTGGTATCATTTGGTATTACAGTAGGCAGTTTTATAAGTCCATAATCCATTTGCATGTATTATAGTACACACATAGGAGAGGCTCAGAGCTTAGTCAACTATCAGTTGAATTTAAAATGTTCTGGCACCACCAAGTGATTCCGTGGACCTGGTGGTTGCCACATTTTCAGTATCTGAAGTATAATATGAACACGGGAGAAAACAAGAGAGAGAGAGAGGAAGTGCCGCGTGGTTCTATGGAAACCTATCTGCAGTGGCCTCTGGCACTTCCTTGTGCAGCTGAAATACACACACAGTCTTCTGGATTTGCCTAAAAGTTTATACCAACTGAGAGAAGCAGCCCATTTCACACTGAAAGCATGTGTCTCTACTATGGAGTGGAACTAGTTTAAGAGGCCCTGCTTTTTAGTAGAGGACTAAGTGGGGTGAGCTGCAGGCAGGTATCATCTGGTGGGGACTTATCAACCATCTCACTGAACCACAGCTCCCAGAATCCTTGCTCTGGAAGCCATACACCTGTTGTGTAGGTCACCTCACCTACCATGGGGTAACTTTGGTGGTCAGCAGCTGTGGAATATCACCGGCGGGGAATTGTCCACGGAAAGAGAAGAGAAGGTAGCGTATGTATCGTCCAAAAGGGAGTGGGAGAAACAGGGCTTTTCTGTTCTAGGGTGATTGGGCTCCCAACTTTAAGCATAATGTGGGTAACCTATTTTTCCTCTAATCCCACAGAACATGGGTTACCAGGATCTACATGAAGTCATAAAGGACCTATTCTCCAAGAAGAAACTGAAGAGATCAGCAAACACAGCCAGTTCCAGAACAGGAATCTTAACGTCACACCCATTAGCTGGTGCCATCAGTGCATGCTCATCTATCTGAACCCCAAAATAGTTTTTAAAAAATGGCAAGAAAAGCAATATAGATAAGGTCCTCCAGATATACAATCATCTGTATAAATCTACCACATTCACCAGCATCCAGTACAAGGCCTTGATGGCATATGCAATGACAGAAATTATGTAATTTGAGGGATGACATCATGACACCTTTGACACAAACCACATCATTTTTGTCATTTGTGTGATGACATCATGATCCATGTGACGTTGCTCCCTCCCCCCATGCCTGTATCACATTTTTGTCCAAGTAACTGAAATAAACCAAATTTTGATAAAAATCTGCCTCCCTCCCTGATCTCAGATGAAAAAGGTGTTTTTCCAACTCAGGGGAAAAGAACATATACTGACTATGCATTTTTATTGAGAAAAATAACAGTTCCCTAATTTCTAAGCTATTTAAATCTTTGATGCGGATATCTGAATTTTTTTTGGGGGGGGGGGTCTAGTTTTATATCTTAAAGGTGCCAGTAAGCTACTGGGAACCCAGCACTCCTCACTTTTGAATAAATGTGATTGTTAGCCATGGAAGGACAGCTGGACATACATAGAAGGCTAGATGCTAAACAGACAGAGGACAGGGAAGAAAAAACAATTTGATAATGGAGCCAGCAAGTCTCATTTAGTCACAGTCACCACCTGATGAAGAGTTCTGGAGAACTTGAAATTTTTCTCGCTATTTTGTGACAGTTTGGAAGCCTAATAAAGATATTGCCCCATTTATTTGAAAGTAACACCTTGCCAAAGCAGCTAAGCTGGGGGTTGTGAACTGACTATTATTAATGTGTGCGAACAAGGAACAGGGACAGGAGCAGGTGAGAATGAGGTTACAGTACTTGTACAGTACATTAGCCTATAATCATTTACATTTATTCTGAATCCAAATTTTGGAGGCTTGGTTCTGACAAAGAGGGACACCAGGGGTGTCTGGAGGATGTGGTCAAAAAAATCAAGAACGCAACCACAATGGTGTGATCAACACTCCACCTGTTTTTTATGTGCATCACTGGTCCACCCCGTTGTGGTCACCATGTCGGCTTTTGTGATCACACCTGCAGACACCCCTGGATGACACACTCTTATCTATTGTAAACTAACTTCCTGAAACACACAAGCCCTAGGAACCTCAGATTTAGATGTAGGCCTTGTCCTATACAGTATGGAAAACTTCAAACTGTGATGAATGTTAAGAATGCACATGGATAGTGGAGAAATCCACTAGTTCTAGTCTCCAACAGCATTCATAACAGTCAGTCACTTTTCTTCCCTTTGTTCACAGGTAACAGCTATTTACTTAGCATCACGGAGTTTCCTTGAATTTGCCTCAGCGATGACAAAGGCAACACTCCTATTTAGGAAGGCTAAGAAAAAAAACAGCTAAGGGTCCACTGGGAACTGCCAATACAGCCTAATTTTGTGGAGGCTGGCTCACTGTCTGTTTTCTGAAAACTCGGGTGCAAGGGAAACACGGTTATTTCCTGCCCAAAACAAAGACCTCCGTATTCCATAGCAGGATTCTTACTCTCCCAGGAACTCACTGGGAGTCTGTGAACAAAATCCTGGAGGTCTGTGAACCTGGATCAGAAAAAGATTACAACTTTGTTTTCATTAACATTTAACTGAAATTTAGCTTTTCATTCAATAATGAATGTAGGCAACAAAGTAATTTATGGCCTCTGGACTCCAAAAATCTTTGTTAACTTCAATAAATCTCACCATCTAAAATGATTAAGATTAAAAAAAAAAAAAAACCAGGACATACTTAGTTACATGAAGTACCTTTTCCTCTGAAAGTGTGTAATTGATATGGTCAACAGTTTGCATTTCAAAGGTTTTTTTGTACCTAAATATCCATACAACCCATTAATATTTTGATGACTGTGTTTGAGTATAATTGGTTTCCTTTGCAATACAATCTATGCTTTTTAAAAAATGTTATGCAATGAAATGCATTTTTCTGAGAAGGGGTCTGTAGATTTCACCAAACCTTCAAAGAGGCCTGGCACAAAAAGGTTAAGAACCCCTGTTCTATGGGTTTATTCTAGAAATCAAATTTGACTTGGGTGTAACATGCTCCATATACATCAAGTCAAGTCCTTGTTAAGCCAATCTCGGAGAAAAGAAGGCAAGTACATGTGGGAATTGAGATACGCTGCCAACCATACACTGTTTTGCTCAAGGCATCCGATGCAGTGAAAACTGAGTTTTGCCAAAGCATGTAAGAGCGATGCATCTTGGTCCTGTCCAAGCTTACATGATTCTGAAAACACTGTGACCCCAATGTCTCAACCACTCAAATTGCTACTGGCTTAGCTTTTTAGATCTCCCTTGAGCCCAGAGATTTCCACTTTTCTTATTCCAGTTGGAAAAGCAGTTACCAGCTGTGTTCTACACCACTTAAAAAATAAAAAAAATAAAATTAAGAGAGCACACTGCACAATGTTTGTTGTTGTGGCTTTTTGTGTATAAATTAGCCACTTCTGATCAAAAGATACAGCTTTTACTGAGACTCCAAACATTAAGCAAAGGCAAAGTGCTGAATATTTAGACCATCTGCTATATGGTTATTCTACTTCAGAATAAACAGGCAATGATGTCTACCATTTGAAATCTGTAGCAGGACAAGATGGAAATTTTCACGCATGCACATAACAAGGATTGCAAAGGGAAAGAACTGATCTAATGACAATTGATGGGGGAAAATGATCCTGCACTAAAATCCTTCATTTTACTGCTATTCACAAGCAAATGGGCCGGGTGGAGATCTCACACTAAGTTGAATGATCACCAGTTCCACAAACCCAACTTCATTAACTTTCTTCTCTCTTCCCCTTGCAGCAACTCTTTGCCTACTTGGGCCAATGAAGTCATTGAGAAGAAGAAGAAAAGCCCATGTATTACTCATAGATATTGATAACATCATAGCAGTAATCCCATGTTAATGTTAAGCAATCATGGTTCATTGGCTTCATAGGCAACCAGGATGGGGGTGGAATTGTGTGGTTCCATGTACAAGTTGTACTTGCAAACAATATCTTGCATGACCTGCCTGCATTGTAAATACATTAAGAGTCTGTATGCAGTAGACTACATATTCCCACTCCAAGTTTCTTTTTTTCCCGACTTTTTTAATTGTGTGAGAACCTGCCCCCAAACTTCACTGTGCTCCGTGGATTTTTTTAAAGACTGGAAACATTTTTTTAAAAAAATAATTGCACTTTAACACGTTTAAAGACAATACTGTCTTTCAAATGTTGCAGAGATTGTGGGTGTTTCCAGATTTTTGGGGGAGGGAGGGGTCTTGTGGGAGGGTTCTTAGCATTCTTAGTCTTTGTTCTTCTCCAATAGGCTGGACAAATGCCAGTTCAGCATCCAACCTCAGGAGAATTAGCTCTTCTTTGGTGCGAGCATCTAATTATGTTCAGACACTGCAACAAGTACAGCAGGAGTAAGTGAACAATATCGCTAACTCCTTTCCGCTTTCCATCTACTCTTTCCATTCTGAATTTTGGGTGTTTGGGAAAAAGATGGATACAGGAGTGCAAAGGAAAAGAGCTCATACTATCGCCTGGGCCTTTGAGATGGACTAACTGCACACCAAAAAATGTGTATGGAAGCATCTAATGCAGTGTTGTCCAAACTTGGCCACTTTAAGATGAGTGGACTTCAACTCCCAGAATTCCCCAGCCAGCATGGCTGGCTGGGAAATTCTGGGAGTTGAAGTCCACTCAAAGTGGCCAAGTTTGGACAACACTGATCTAATGCCAGGAAGAGGGCTGTGTTGCACAAAAGCAGTAAAGGGTCTTTTGGGGAGCAAAAAGCTGGGGACAACTAACCATATTCTGGTCTTTGTCTCAGAGCAATCCTTTGCAAATGCTGAACAAGAAATAGTGCGACATCAGGGTACTTAGGAGAGGTTTAAAGTGCATCCATTTGTAGGTGAAAAAAATAACAGCAAATTCGGGGTAAAGGTAATGTTTCTTTGATTCAGGCTTGACTTCTACTGATTATGGATACCTTGGCTGATCCTGTAAAAGCCAGGCCCGGTTTCATCTGATTAATACTTTGGTGAGGAATTACTAGGAAATTCCAATGTCACAGACCAGATTGGATAGTTGGGGGGTGGGAACCCTCCAATTCATAAGAAGACAATGGGGAGCTATTTCCATATTGTTGCCACAAAATTATCAGAAGTTGGACTCAGTTCAAAAATGAACAAAACTGACTTTCTACTGCCCGATAAACAGATTATAATGTATAGCAATGCTTAAAAAGTAGGGGTGATGCTCAAGCCATGATTTTAAAGAAAAGAACGAGGAATCTCAAGCATATTTTCATTTCTGCAGTCCTGAAGAATGTGAATTTTCCCTTGAATTGTGCACATGCATTTGAGTCTCTCTTTACAACCTTAAGGGCTAGTATCCTGCTTTTACTATAAAATGAAAAGCAGACCTTCTTCTTGGTCTGTGGATGTTTATGATCTCCAAATCAACATTTATGCATGAACAGGGTATGCAATTAAAGGTAAAGATGACCTCAAGTTGAGCAAAATTCAGTGGCTGCTTCCATACTGTTTTATTGGAAACAATATGGATGTGATCTGGCACTGCTTTCTCCAGGGAATTTTGTGACTTCACAATCTAGTCCACTGTTTCTCAACTGCAGCAACTTTAAAATGTGTGGACTTCAACTCCCAGGATTTCCCAGCTACACTGGTCTAGAAAATATGTATATTGCTCAGCAGGCAGAAAACAGAAATGAGAGGGATGTCCAAAGAAATGAAAGAAAAAAAATCCAGCTACTCAGAACAAACCAATCCAGACACTAACAGAACAGCAAACTAAAATAACATACTGTAAGTATCACCAAAGTAGTACAGTAGTATTATCTAGTGGGCAATCCTTTTCCCCATTTGAAATAGTCACTATTTGTACACTGAAAGTGAAGATGAGCCTCCCCAGTTATAAAGTATGCATTTCAGAACCAAAGGTGCTATCAGTATATTGTGAAGTAAATAAATTCATCAATCTTTTGGAAAGGCAGGAAAAAAAGGCAATTGCCATAGATAAGACAGCCCAGTGCTTTTGATCTAATCGGTCAAAATGTTCCTTGAAAAGAGAAATGCTTTTTCTCCAGCATATTCTTGTATTAAGAAGAGAAAGCTGACTACTGTACATATTTCTGCACATAAGCTTACATTTTGGAGAATGGCCATTGAAAGTAGATCTGCCTCTCAGACTATTTCTAAGTTTGC